CAGTTTTAATCTCCATTTTCGTAAACAGCATTCAAAACTCTATCGATTCATCCGGGTCTCCATTCAAAGTCCCACGGTAAGTAGACTGCCCCTCCCTTTAGTAGAGATTCAGTTGGAAACAAGCGCAACATACCACTGAAAAGAAAAATCTATCGTCGACTTCCTCCGTGGTTGTTCCAAAGATGCACCCATCGGTCTACTTTGAAATTGCTGAGCTTTCACCATCTGCGCATACAAGCCTCCTTTATTCATCAGTTCATCGTGTGATCCTAAATGATTTGGCATACTTAGAACTGCTTAGATTTAGTTCCACTCATCCGCAACTGCCACGCCTTCTCTTTTCTAGTCTTGATCTGCGTTCCTGACAAACGGTAAACTTCACACAGACGCTACACGAAAGCTGGTCGGGTACTATGTTAGGGTAGCTTCCCGCTGGAGTAGTAGGAGACTTCGATTAATAGTCAATTTCCATCGATGGTTCCCTGCTTATTTCCACTTCCACACCAGAAATATCTCTTGTCGTTTCACCCGTGTACTTGGGGTCTCTCGGAATGACACCGAGTAGATTGAATGGGTTCCATTCAAATGTGGAAGGAAACCAGTGCCCTAAATCCAGGTATTATGGCCGTTAGTTCTGTTAACTGAAGATGTTCTCCATGGAATCCTTGATCATGATCTCTTATTGAAATAGGTCGATGTAGGAAAAGTCTACAAATCCGCAAATTGAATAACAGTCTCGTAAACAAAGTGGCATAGATAATAGTGAAGAAAAGCCGGATGGTTATATTAATCGGAATGAAAAATTAGTAACCGAGTAATGATATAGCCTTCTCTTACCTGTCTCAACCACTTTTCCCTTTTCCATGACATATATTTTCTTGACATCACGAACAGTACTCAAACGATGTGCTATGACGATGGTTGTTCTTCCTTTTGCCGCTTCATTCAAAGCCACCTGAAATCTTTGGGTGAATTCATAACATGTTTCCAAAATTATATGACGAATTATTTAGGCATAATAGCGATCATTTGCGTACTGTGTGACAAGAATCCTCAAAAAATTGTGTTTCATATGAGTAGCGAAGAGTGCTGTCGTCGGAGATGGAGGTGGGTACTTTCTGGTATCTTAAAGTTATGGAGATAGGGAAAATTGGGGAGAAGTAATTCCACCGAATTCCCGCGGCAAGCGGCAGTAGTTTCGCCGCGACTACCGTATCCCTTCCCTAGTGATCCGCACTCTTGACCCTATTGCGCGCGACTGCGCACGATCGGACGCGGCGAGGTTTTTGGGGAGAAGTACCCGCATTACCAGTTGTACTGCATATTTATGACAGAGGGAAGTGAGTGGATCATGTAGGGAAATACTTCGAGGGAGGGTTCGCAAAATGACGGTGCGCAAGTATGCTGACGAGAGAGCAAACTTTGAAGATATGGAGTCAAATTGGGTGCGCTTCGTTGCGCGCGTCCGTAGAAATTAGGTCATGCCGCAGCCATCGCATGCGGCGGGTTAGCCCGCGATCTTTGACAAACGTCGCGGTTGTCAGCGGATCATACGAATTGCGCTCAGAATCAGTCCACGACAGTGAGCCAAAGAGGAGATGACACGGACAAATGCAAATCATTTGCTTCACCAACACTTGGTGGTACTGTGGTGTCGGTGACTTAGTTTTGACGGACGCGCGCAACGGACGTTCTCCAGTCAAATTGAGTGTTAACAACAAAGGCTCGGGCAAATAAAATGAAGCAAGCCACAGCTGAAGCTAGGGGGTGAAAAAAGGAGCAAATAGTGTTTGACATAAAGCTAACAAAAGGAAACGTCGCTTCGTAACATTAACTCTGATCTTTACACGGTGAATTGTAAGACTTCGGCAATTTTTCTTCAGTGCCTGGAGATGTATGATGATTGCTTTCGTTGATGTACGTTAAAAAAAACGTCTGATATTACCTGAACAACTTTCTCACACTTGGCATCTAGGGCACTGGTAGCTTCATCCAAGAAAAGAATCCGAGGATCAGTGACAATGGCTCGAGCGATGGCGATTCGTTGCTTCTGACCTCCAGACAAAGTCGCGCCACCAGGACCCAAGTAAGTGTCGAATCCCTGTTGTGATTGATGTTCGGAAGGATCTCTCTTAGTTAATTGAAAGATTCCCAGACAGAAAAAGGAAAATAGGTAAAACTANCGAGGATCAGTGACAATGGCTCGAGCGATGGCGATTCGTTGCTTCTGACCTCCAGACAATGTCGCGCCACCAGGACCCAAGTAAGTGTCGAAACCCTGTTGTGTTTGATGTTCGGAAGGATCTTTCTTGGTTAATTGAAAGATTCCCAGACAGAAAAAGGAAAATAGGTAAAACTATTCAAGAACGAAATTGCATTGAATCGAAATTGTGAACGCCGAAAGTTCATCTTGTATTACCTTTTCGAGATGGTCAACAAATTCGGTAACGTCGGCCACATCGGCAGCTTGCCTGATTTTTTCATCGTCAATACCTTCCCGTCCCAACGATATGTTCTCCTTTACTGTACCGTTGAATAGATACGGTTCTTGCTGAACTATCCCGATTCTCTGCAAAAAACTGATCCAGGCTTGGTCGAAAAAAGAGCATTTGGATCAGAAACGACACCTTTCTCAATGCTTTCACATCATACTCACACAGAGGCACACCATCAATGGTGATTTTACCGTCGTCCACTTCATAGAGCCGACTGAGAAGACTAACCTGAACGACCGTTTTGTTGAAGAATGCGAATGGAGGAAACTTGAGTCCACATAATACAATAGAAAGAACTGTCATACCAATGTGCTTTTACCGGATCCACTTGCACCAACAAGCGCGATTGTTTCCCCGCTTTGAACTTCACACGAGAAGCCCTAAATGCTAACAGGGAGCATCTAACTGGTAAGTAGGAAGTAGAGCTGATCGAATAGTTTGGTAAATAAAGAAGTAAATTCGGATATTGAAGACCCGGATCCGTAATCGACAGATAAGCATGAGAAACTTCACCTCAAAGAAAGATAATCATCGAATTCACTGCGAATATTTTTCAGGATGGCCCTTTAGCTTTCTGAGAATTCTTCCCACTAGTTTAATGAGTGCCACCTTTCGGAATTGGATTTGGACTTAACTCGACGTATTTAATGTAGTGATCTCTCACATTCAGGACTGGCTGGTTTCTTGTTAAATATGAGAAGTAGACATCTTTGAAGGCAATATGTCCTGCCACAACGTCCTTTCTGAGACCTTTCTTCCGATGTATAGGAGGCATCTGAATGCTGAGATTGTGGGAGATTCGATTAATTTGACGTGCTGCAGGAATATTCGTACCCTGTCGATTATATCGTAAATGGCAGCAGCCGCTACTCTTGCCTTCAACAAAGCCATCATGTGAGGTCCAAGCATTCCCAAGTAATAGGCGGTTAGCGAAATTGTGCCCACACAGAGAAGTACATCACCACGTTCACGAACAAAACCATGGAAATAACCATAACACCCGAACCTAAAAACTGGAGGTACATACACATCTAGACTGATGTAGCTTTAGACACTGCAAGCCAAATATTCAAGATTTGGTAATAATTTTTCACAAAAAAAAATCACCAAAGAGAAACTCCAATGACCACGTAAATCTGGAAGAATGATAGCCCTTCAAAAAAGCCCATCCAGAAGTGGTTGCGAATGGAATACGGGAGAGCACGCCTTAGAGCTGATTGATATTTCTGAAAAGTTAATGGCAACTTCACAAAAAAAAGGAACAACATCTTCGAAGAGCGAAATAAATTTTTGTGTAAAATCTCATTACTATTAATGCAAAACACCTCATTACCTTGTCGCATGTGAATGGATTTTTATTAAATATATGGAAAAGCAGGGCAATTTCCGACCATCTACCGTATCTCTCCCACCCCCCTCCCCCTAATTCATATTAATATTGTTTCTGGTTTTTGATATCCTTTCTGCAGTGCCAGCCCCAAATCAGAATCCTGATGGCGTTTTGAACGTGTTTTTGGCTCACAGAATGTTTTACCTTAGCTACCAGTGTGAAATGGATGTTTTCACCCTCCCATGCAGTCATGGCACCAACCAACCGTTCCTGAAGGGAAGGAATAGCAGATTCGTGAGGATCTAGCCTCGTGTGTGGACCACGTCCCATTTAGAATTTCGTACTATCTTTTTCATTCAAATTGTTCTGTTTCTTTTAGTCTATTTTTGCCTTTTGAAACTCCCTTCAATGCATTATCCATTCCAGAAGTGCCTTCTTAGGAATAACAATGGAAAACATCTCGATAAACTAGTAAATCAACGATTCATAACAGAATACAGAGGAGCCTTTTGTCAGATATGACACAGTTTCAGAAAAGTTCCACTGACCTTCACCATATGTTTCTGTCCGTTACACGACTGCACAGTTTTCACGTTCATCACTGATTCTTCAGCTATAGAAGCAGCATCTGACAGTAACTTCATTGCTTTGCCTAGGCTAGCAGAATTCACCTGAAATTTAAATTATCGACAAGAGAAGAGATTTTTTCTACTTTTGCCTTTTGAAACTCCCTTCAATGCATTATCCATTCCAGAAGTGCCTTTTAGGAATAACAATGGAAAACTTCTCGATAAACTAGTAAGTCAACGATTCATAACAGCATACAGAGGAGCATTTGGTCAGATATGACACAGTTTCAGAAAAGTTCCACTGACCTTCACCATATGCTTCTGTCCGTTACACGACTGCACAGTTTTCACGTTCATCACTGATTCTTCAGCTATAGAAGCAGCATCTGACAGTAACTTCATTGCTTTGCCTAGGCTAGCAGAATTCACCTGAAATCTAAATTATCGACAAGAAAAGAGATTATTTATTGAGAACACAATCCACTGTAACGCTTTATTTTAGAGATGTTATTGAAGTGCTTCTAAACACCTTATAAACCCTCAAGAGGGAGAAGCTGTGCTCCCTAAGGATCCGGGTACCTTTAATTCAGTGCCGGAATTCGTGACAAACTAAAGATGATAGACAGGTAATTTTAAAAACGAACTTTTCCTAACATCGCCATTGTCATTGCAGCTATCGGCCCCATAGTGATAGAAATAACAGTGATCTGCCAGTTGATGATACCACAAGCTATGATTGACGAGGAGAACATCGAAAATCCTCGGATCAGCAGACCCATCTTGTCACCCATTCCATCTTGAATTCGAGCGATATTGCTGAAATAAATGCTTTTCAAAGCAGCAGATAACCATAATCGAGATGGGCTCAATTCATTAGTCTGTGAGTACTGTCTGCCATAAAAATGCTCTCGAAGAAGTTGTAAAAGAAGTAGAAATTTTGCGTACAAACACAATAGTCGAATATTAAATATTTCTCTAGTCATAGAGGTTCCTTGAATTGAAAATCCGATTGAAGCCCGTAAATTACACGTATGTCTTGTAGCTAGTAGCACCTCAGGCAGTCACTGAATTTTTTATTCTCTGAGATCATAACTTAACTAGGAGACTTCGCTACCATTCAACAGAAAGTAGCCCACCGTTTTGTGGAGCTTAACATCACAACTTTCAAAACAGCACAAAGTCGACCTCTCACATTACGCTTAGACGTTCTTGCCTCCCGAATACTCCTGGCTGAATCGGCACGCATTCAGAATACTAACCGCCAAAACGCAAAATCACCGCGTAGGATACATAAATGCGCCAGCGGGTTGCAGGAAAAAAACTGACACAGGACAGCAGAAGCAGAAGGTCTGTGCCCTGACCCTCAGGGCAAGAATATTATGTTCACTGAAAACACGTATATTTCTATGTATACGTAAGTATGATTGGGAAATCTATACGAAAGTGTTCGGCCATATTTTGTGTTCGATCCTATCAGTATTATATCAGTAAAGGGAATTTGGACGCATTTTAACAACATCACTACCGTAATTCAAGAACCTACGAACTCATTCAATTGTGATATGATGACACCCGAAGTGTTTTGATCAAACCATGTTGCATCTTGACGTAGAACAGCAGACAAATACTGGCGTCGAAGCGAAATTACCACGTTCAGGCTGCCACGATGGAGAAAGAAGGACTACAAATAACACTTCATCGATTTGTAAGCAATAAAATACCAGCGAAGTCTAGGTATAAGCTCGAACTTCAACCGACCGAGGAACTCGGCCCAACTATGTAACCACCTTTACGATAATATTTACATAGTGAAAAGAAGTGATAAACATATGTATCAGATTGGAAGAGAGCATAGAGTGTTTTCTAGTTTGAGATTGATGGACTTGAAGTTACATTGGCTTCCGGAGAAACTGCAATTTCAAGGGAAGCTCTCTTTGGGAGCTTCATCTCTAATTTTTAGTGGTTCACCATAAGATAGATGTGATCGATCAGAGGGGCTCGTTTTATTTGTTTATAGTGGCTCCCCTACGGGTAGTCAATTTAGGTACATCGCATCGCACAACTTCCAAATCTTTAAACCGAATTCAATCACTTGCACTGCGATTTCACTCTCTTTCCTTTCTTAGCTACAAAATTCCAGAAAGACAGCTTGACATACAGGACCAAGACTTCAGTAAGGTCCTTAACCCGCTCTGTAATTCATCAATCCACTAGATAGTTAAGTTAGAAATGTCTCACGTTGTGTTAAGGTATCTTTCTGAGACCGCGCAATCCTACTTGCTGTCCATTTCCTCTGTGATCAAAATAATCATTGAAAGCCCCGTCACCATGTGGATTTCGCTGTGACAAGATGCAGATGCAAGTGGATGGAGAATTCAAAGGAAAATATGCTGTTCTCAAGAATATATATGATTGTCATGAGCCATCCAAACGTTCCTATTGCCTGAGAACAGAGATGGCAGGAGCAGCATGCTGAGAGGTCTCTTGCTATTGGCTGCTCACTCACTGACACCGAATCCTGCATCAGCGAATCACTCGTAGACTCTGTTTCGCTGATGCAGGAGTTTTTACCTCAGTTAGACAACAAAGTAGTACCTGAACAAACGATGTTATCAGAGCAAGTACGCCTGCAATTCCGAGCCAATTTATCAGAACCATAACATCATCCCAAAACTGCTGGTTTCCCACTTTCTGAATGAGTGTATTTTTCTCAGACGTCGACTGATAAGACAGCTATCGTAGAGTACCTCACTGGGCTCCAGATACAGTGTTGTGATAAATCCACCTAGGATCAGAACGAAAGGTTGAATAGCACCTCCAATGAGAGCGCAAACAGTCCCGATTGTTATAAAACACATGTCTCGTGTAGTGGCGAATCGAAACTGAAAATCGATGGAGATCAACGAGACGATTCTAACAGTACCCATCAATAGCAAGTGGCTACAGGGGTCAGCACTGTCGTTAAAACTTTGTTCAACCAATTTCCAAGCTGGGTTTCTTTTGACAGAAAATTAGTTACTTCATGCTTAGTCAGAAACATTTAGCGTGAGACTATTATCCATTATATGGAAAGCGCTTTACAAAAACATCGAACATATTTGGAGCAAGGTGGAAGTAAAATTGAAAAGTGGGACAGCTTTTAGAGTTGACTGATGGCGTTTCGAGATGCACCAACGCAATCGAGTTACATACAGAATCGTATAGGTGTTTGAATGTGTGTCTGATACTCAAACTGGGAACAGGTAATGTTGCAGTAGACACTTCATTTCAAGCTAGCCCAGAATGAAAGTTTAACAATTTCCGTTGAATGTATGCCTCTATGTATTACTCACCAACTGTTTCACTGATATCGGTTCAGATTCGGCTGTTCGCTCTGTCTCCACATCTCCCCTGAAAGCTGGAAAAGCTTAGAACTAGAGAGTTGATATCCCTACCAAAACTTTATTTTGATGTGACCTCTCCAGGATCCTAATGTAAACTGCTGAATTACGACAGCAAATTTCACGTGTATGCTCAACTGTAAAGCTATGCACCTTTGTATCATTCTCAAGCAGAGGGTTCTTCAGACAAAACAAAAGGTTCAGCTATGTGGATTGCTGTTTCCATAAGATTTAACTCCGTTTTCGTAATTCCTGGAATTCCCTGGACGCTATCCTCCCTAACTATTGTCGGAGTTCAGTAAGAATGTGGCCACAATTGGGTACATGTAGAATGGATCGAATTTCTATAAACCTAGTTTCTGTTCGATGGTTTCACTCAAACTCTCTTAGGAGCTTCCAGAAGGTACGGAACATAGTGGGACGAGTTTGCTAGCTTACGCTACCAAAATGTCACTAGAAGCACGTAGGCAAACACGGCTTACCTGCACAATAAAATGTCGAGAATAAGTGTGGTAATATTTCGTGAGGCCGTTTTTTCCTTCTCCTTCCTCTCTTCATCACATGATTGGATCATAATGCTAACGATGCAATTTCAGTCCTTTTAGGTTTAGATAGGATATTCAAACTCTGGAAAAAAAAATCATTTTAGGAAAAGAGTAAAACGAAAAAATCCAAAGAATCTTCTAGAAAATCAATATAAATATAAAAAGAGCAAAATTGACGAGATTGTCCGACCGAAAACGTCATGACGGTAGCAGTATCCTTCTCTGACAACGAGTGGTTCGGACAGAACAAAGAGAAAAAAGGTCAGCGGAATAGTAAGTCATACGGATTTTCAAAAAAGAAGGGTAAGAATGACAAAAATTTCAAGATGTTGAAAGATAAAATATTGAACCCAGAGCTTGGTGCACGTATATGTATGTAGGCAACTTGACAACAGAGTATCGTTCAGAGAGCAGCAGTTCACGCACAGTTTTTTGCCCAGTCGGGTGACTTTGATATAATTTCAACTCGCTTAGAGAAATTATAGACCTCTAAACTGTTTGGTATGAAATCTATGTTGATCTGAAAATTCGGGATAAGGTAAAAAAGCAAAAGAAAGGTTGTCGTCATGTCATAGCTCTTCAATGTAGAATTCATGATCGAGCCTTCTTATTTTGATTAAAATTTGGATGGCCAAGTTAAATCTTTCAGGGATGAAACAAAATACATGATTCAATCAGAAGCAAAGATTGCAATAGACTCCAACTCAATCACGAAAGAATGCTATGAGTGTTGCCTACTATTGTACTACACTGTGCATTATGAGTTTTTGTGAGTAGAAGTAGAAAGATGTTCAAGGAGTAAGAAGTGATGTTTAGAGAGACGGTAATGACGATCTTATCCGTCGAAGTGAGAACCGATTATGATTGAATGGTTGTTCCTATTTCACGCGATTGACAGATTACATGAAAGAATAATGTCAGAATTCGCCTGACATCGGATAACAATCACAATAAAGAGAGAAAGCCGAAAGAACTGTTCATTCTCTAAGAAAAAGACGACATCGAGTAGCTAAAGGCTGTACAAAACTTCTTCTACATGTCTCAAAAGAAATGAAATACCCAAATGAGCCGATCTTTTGCTGGCTCTGATACAGGGCTGCGTAAAAGAGAAGGTGCAAGAGGGCTCTGATTGAACTAAGCAAATCAAGCAGCAAATTTCAAATAAGGTTTCAAACAAAAGGGGAAGGATCAATATGTTCTGAATGAAATGAATAGAAATGAATGAATTTTACATAAACTGATATGATTAAAGTTTTTTCAGACTGCTCGCAGGATTCGTACTTAAAAGAGGGATGCTTCGCGTCACTTCCCTAGTGATACGGTCACCGCTCTCTAGTCTGCAAGTGTCATAGAAGAGGCAGGCCGCGCATTAACTTCAACGAGTTCCTGACGACTAATTTGCCCACTTTACACATTTTTCTTATAAGGTCGGCTGGGATGGTTCACTGGGATCACATCACAGGTCTAATAATTTGACTGACTGTGGGACATATTCAAATTACTCCAGTTTGACACAAATTATTTGAATTCTTTTCATACTTATCTTCACTTCACTTCATACCAGCATCAGGAAAACCATTGTAGTCAGTTCCGGAAGAATAGTTCTCAACCGTCTATTTTCTTTACTTTCGGTAATGAGAAAATTTCCTGTATTATAGAAAAAACGAAGGAAATCTTGTCATATGAGCCAAGGAACTGCTTTTGGTATAAACTGTGGATAAATATGAAACCTCTTCAAGCCATTCACGTGGTTCTGTTAAGGGTAACTTTACTCTTGCGTTCATAGTCCAGATTTTCATTCAGAAGTCTTACTACGATCTTTCAGCTTTGGTTTGACATGCACAAGAGCGCCTGCCCGGGGAAAGTTAAACAAGCCACTTTACAGAATAAACAGGGCCCCTTACGGTGAGATTATATTCAACAAAATAAATTGGATGAATATACCAGAGTGATGCAAAAGTCTCCGAATCACTTTCGAAAATGGATGGTTGGTATGACGCTCTTGGGGTTGGGTAGATACCATCATTCTCGATGTATCGAATTATATACTGAAACTGTCAAGCACAAACTTACGACGCAACTCAGGGTGCATCTGATGTCCCCAGGCTCACGGTTGCAGAAAATGCTTAATAAACGAAAGCTTCATACCTTGACGAACAACGGGAGCACTGGAATAAGGTTCTGAAAGACTTGATTGCGGGCGGTATCTACGAAAGTCTGACGGTGACAAGGGTAAACGGGATGGCCGACGGTGGAGCTTATCGGGAACCATTCATGGTACAGTACAGTACTACAGGAGACACTGCTTAGTGTGGAATTTATTTGACTTGCGTTCTAATACGCAGCGCACCGTATGGGACTTCTCTGAAGAAAGGTTCGAAGGTGCAAGTCAAATAAGAATTCTACAATAAGCAGTGCCTCCTGTACATAGTACTGTACTGTACCATGAATGGTTCCCGATAAGCTCCAGCGTCGGCCATCCCGTTTACCCTTGTCATCGTCAGAATTTCGTAGATACCGCCCGAAAAAAAGCTGAAATTACCTTCTATGCTATAGTTTTCCAGCACAATGCTAAGTCCAGAGGAGCCCAGTAAAAAGGTGGAGAGGTAGGGTGACACGTAATACTCCGCTCCGACTACTCTCTCAGATTA